AAATATAATTAATATTAATATTAAATATATTTTATTTAATTTTAAAATATTCAATGTTAAAAAACTAATAACTGTAATTATAAATTAACACTTTTCAATTAAACCTTAATTGATGGTGTGGGATATGCGCTGAGCATTAGAGTGGGATAGACGCGAGCTATTCCATCCAAAATAATTTATTCATCTATTGATTAGGGGACATGGAGTAATAATTTTATTCTTGTGCAAAAAAATTTTTTGTTTCGTAACCTAAGCTAAAAGAAAATTTATACATGTATTGATTGGAGGACATGAAGTAATATTTTTATTTTAATGCAATAAAGTTCTTTGTTTTGCAATCTCGCTTGTCACAGACGTAAAACGCAAGTTATTGAAACTTAATTGATGGTGTCATAAGTTTGCAGAACATGTGTTTATATTATAAATTGCCTTTTTTTAAGTGATGCTACGATGTTAATGGATAAGGTGAGATCAGATTTACTAAAGGGATGTGTATCTCTAAAATTGATTGGGAAGATAAAAATTATCCGATTTGTTGCAGTTTAAATTTAAAAGAAACAACAATCTTTAGAATTTATGATGAAGTAATTATCCATGAACAATTAGCAAGTGAAACGAGGAGGCAGCTCTCAAGAAGGTATAAAGAGAAGGTTTATGTTTCAACACACACAACTAGCCCTACACGGAAACTCATCAATTTTTTAATTCTTTAGTTTTGTAGTAATTGCTCATTTTAGCTTTTATATTTCAGTCTTAGACAGATTCTAATAGATTTAAGTTGTTTTCAGAATTCAAGTATCCAAATTAGTTTGTGTAATTGCTTTTTTGATTTCTTTTTATGCAATAAACATCATGTTTACTCTAATTTGCATTTCATTCAATCCATTTTGGATCTATTAACTTAAATTCACAGTATTAGTAAAGTTCTTAAGATTGTCCAAAGCAGATTACCAACCCATTTTGCAGGAAGGCATCCATCTATCTTGCAAATCGTTTGAAAAGTACAAAACTTAGTTTTAAACCAACGTTCTTCTAACCATCTTAATGGGAGTTAACCGTATAGAAGGAGAGGGTCATTAAGAAATCTTTTTTTCTTACTTTTTTTAAAAGTAAGTGATATGTCTACATTCAAATTTCGCATGTGTGAAGCCGCTTATGATTTTTGAGGAAACAGCATGAGATTGGAAGAGACATGATCCATTCCATCTATTGATTGGGGAACATGGAGTAATATTTTTATAGGAAT